AATGCTTGACTGACTGAATGCTTGACTGACTGATTGATTGACTGACGGACTGATTGACTGACTGCTTGATTGACTGACGGACTGATTGGCGATCAACGCACAGCCCAACCCCTAAGAGCTAGGAAGCCTAAATTTTGACTGTAGTTACCTTGTGATGGAGATGTAGGCTAACAGGCGGATGTGCACAAATCTGCCTGCAAGTGTGGACAAATTGAAAAAAAAAATAGTTAAAACATGGCTGTACGTCAAATAGACGTGGAGATTAAGAAGGTATGGACAGATTTAACATTTTCACAGGCGAGAACTGAGTGAAAAAGTTATATCTACAATTTTAAGCAAAAAATCCGAGAAAAAATTCCAAACAACAAATCGCGAACTACAAGTGGGAAAAAACCAATGTACTCTTCTTTTCCAAATGAACGTGTATAAATACATTATATATATATATAGACATATATAGTTGTGCATATAATACGAGTGTGTGATTCATTGTGTAGCATTTGGTTTCTGGTTTGGCAAATCTTTCATTATCGTCAAACGGCTGGCGCATATTGCCAGAGGGGAATGCCAAGCAGCCGCAGCAGCAGCGCCAATGGGAATACCCTGTACATGATAAACAAACAGCCAGACGAAATGAGTTGATACTGGGACAAGCCCTGGTAAACTCCGTAGCTCTGCAGAGCTTCACAGTTCGCGTTGCAGACGAAACTCAATTCAACTTTGAGATTGTTCGACGCGTCGTTGGCTGTCTCTGACTTTTGACGCTTTATGACGAAGTAAAAAGCCAACAACGACAACAACAGCAACAACAAAAACAACTGACAGCCACAGCAACGATATGTGTTAAATAACAACAACAACAAGAACAACAACATTTATAAATATATGTGCAGCTCATATCTGGGCTGCGAGCTGATGAGCAAAGTTTTGATTAATTTAAATTTAGCCACAGCCTTTTTTCTTCATTTTTGTTTTTAATACAATTTACTGCGCAGCTTTAACCTTAACATTGGGCTTATCTTAATTTATTTGTATTTTTATTTTATTTATTTTTATTCATATTTTTTTTGCTGACCAGCTGCTAACAATTGCAGCCTTCACTCGGCTGAAATGCCAAGCCTTTGTGCGGCAAACATCTTTTTGGCGCAGAAATTGTTATGCCAACTATTTTTGGATTCGGTTGTTTTCATCTATATATATATATATATATCTATCGGGTACTCGTAGTTGTGGAAATAAGTTTTGAACGCAAAACACACAAAGGCATTTTCACATTCAATTTCGCAGGTGTTTGACTCGATGTCTGCAAAGTGTGTGTACGAATGTGTGTGCGTGTGTTGTCTGCCTTTGCCGATTGAAAAACACGCGAGTTGCATTAAAGAGAATTTTCGTAAACTGCCAAAAATGAAAACATGCAACAAACCTACCATGCTCTGCGGTCAGACAAGCTTAGGAAGTCCTTTATTTTTTAAAAGTTGACGATTCTCACATTTCTTTTTTTTATACCCTGAACCCATTAAAAATGGGTTAAAGTATATATATTCTTGATCAGCATCAATAGCCGAGTCGATCTAGCCGTCCGTCTGTCTGTCCGTCCGTCCGTCCGTCCGTTGATAAGTTCAAATAAACTAAAGGCCCACCATTGTCAGATATAGTTTGCGTATCTGAACTTAAGTTAAAGAGTTAAACAAAGATGCACTTTAGTGAAATCAAAATATCATACAACTTTTGATATTCGGACTCAGGAAAAGTAGAAAATATTTAGCTAATCAGATTAGCCTAAGGAACTGTTAGTCAAAGTCTATGAATAAGCATTTTAGCTATAGATTTTAAAGCAGCATGCTAGCAAAAACCGATTCTTCAGACAATAACTTAATATCTGACAAATCGTTACTATTTCAAATTTGGTTTTTAGGCTCTTGTATATTACCACAGATAAGGAATCTTTCACTTTTTGGCTACCTCCTCCAAAACACCTCATTCTTAAAGCTGGAGCCTTGCGGTTCTGTATATACACATTTTGGGAATTACTATTGGAATCTGTCATACTGACATTCGGCTCGTGGAGCCTATCGATCAATATTTATGAATTTAATAATTCAAAGCATGAGCCAAAACATTTTATTGTTCAGCATTCTTACTTGGTATACATATACAACATATAATTCTGTCATGATATGTGTAGCGCATAGAAGGAGACATCTCCGAATCCATAAAGTTTATATTCTTTATGTTCGTATGCGAACTAGTCTTTAAAGCTATCGTTTTCATAGAAACGATCGATCGAAAATGTATCACTATGCTGCTTATATGTGAGCCCAATCTTATCGAGATCCCACTTCTTGTATTCTGTTTCCCAAGATATTTGCATTAAACTCTGCACTTACGACCTTCACTACTCCGACATATCTGCAACCCAAACATCTGCAAGGGTATTTAATCTTCGGCGTGCCGGCGATATCCTCTCGTATCTTCTATCTAAGCTCACTTGTGTAGGAGTTACACAAATTAATTCGACCATTTTGATATGTCTAATTTGTATTTTTGAAGCCTGTTTATTTGGGGTTAACAAATGCGTGCAACTGAGACCCGCATTTCGAGTTCTACAGCTACGCGGTGGGAGACGGAAGTTGGGCTTGGCTTGCCACAACACTTTTTCGCGCTTGTTTATTTATGTGTTACTTCCTCGCGTCAAAGCACCATCTGCCCCTTTGCTTAACTAAATCGGAGAATATGTTGCATACTTTGCGGCTGCAACAGCTGTTTGTTTGCCTTTTGCAGGCAACGCTGATGCTGTTGCCGTCGATAATGATGGCTGCCACAGACACATTAACGCCAAGCCCAACCCCTGCCCCCAGCCCAATACCAGCCCCGTTGCCAGACACCTGCTCATGTAATTAGATGCATCAGTTAAGTGAGCTGCGTGTGAAATTAATTGAAAAACTTTCACTGTTTAAAGTTTTTGACAAAAAAAAAAATACTCAAATAATAACTTTGAGCTTTTTATGCAGCGCGAAATTAAAGCGAAAATTGAACTGAAAGCCGAAACCGGCAACAGCAGACGGACACGGGAAACTTTGCCGCAAAGTCAAGTGGCAAGTGGCAAAAGCTTGTTACACTTGCCACATAAATCAGACATAAAGCAGACCTACCTCTACTTCCCGCCCCTCGCCGCACCTTACACTCTCTGCCTGCCCGCCTGCCTGCCGTCTGTTTACTGATTGTCTATCATCGAAGGACATCATCCGACGACTGTCGTAAGTTTTTTGTTGTTGTATTTTTCTGCCAACTTTGGACAACAACTGCGGATCCCTTTTGGCATTGTTTTGGCTTCTGAGAATTCTTGAATATGCTGTTGCGTATTTATGGCATGCCACAAACGTTTATCTAAACTACATAAAGCAATAAAAGTTAAAAGTCAAATAACTGTACGGTACTTCAAGTTCAAAGTTGTTGTTGTTGTTGCTGTTGTTGCTATTGTTTGCGTCTTGTTGCAACTCCGCCTAACCCCCTCTGTCCCAGCATATCCTTCAACGATCTGCGTGCGGCTGGCCTGCCCTTTGGGAAACTGAGATAACGTCTCGACAACGTGCAACGGCTTGTTGCAACAGCATGTGACCCCTACAAAATCGAGCTAATAGAGAACAGCCTATTGGCATGCCACTGTAATACTCTGAAGAAGGGAAAGAAAAAACGGGCATATAAATAATCCAAAAATATACAACAACATATGCTCAGGTTTATCTTTACATACTTGGCTTTGTTTATATTTATAATAAATATTTATAATTCTTACTTTTTACCGAAAAGTATTTTATAAACAAAGTATTTTTACATCAGAAAAATATTGTATTTTATAGTTACAAATGCTCAAATTTGAGTTACGCTTACAAACTGCCAACCGTTCTTTAATATTATAATTTTACAATATTAAAATATTTTTGTAACTAGCAAAATTATATTTTTTATAGTTACAAATGCTCAATTCTTCTTTAAAAAACAGCTTAGTATATCATACCTAAATATTTTCCCACAGAAAAAATTAAACTATATTTGAAATGAGTTGGTATTTTATAGTTACAAGTGCTCCAAAAAGAGAGTACTTAACTGGTTCTTTATATTAACAAAGTATTGTTATATCAAGGTAAAGTGAGTACTTTGCAGTTGATTTTCATAACATTCTTGTGGCCTGCTATTTTAGATTAACAAATTATTGTTGTATCATGGTTGATTTAAAGTTACAAATTCCTCAACTGTAAATACATAGACGTATTTATTAACTTCACGAATTAAAAGTTTGTTTTAAATTATAGTTAAGTTCATGATTTATAGGCCAGCAAAAAGAAACAAATAGAACTTGTCACAGTCTTGGGCTAAATCAAAACAATTATTTAGACAGGGGTTCGATCCACTCTCCATTTTAAAATAATATTATTAATAATATGAAGAGATATATAAATACAAGATTTTTGATTGGCCTGGGTCTTATTTATGATTTTTTTTATTATAACTAAAGCTCTTTAAAAGACTTCTTCATCAAATCGAAAACATTCTTTTAATTTTTGCAGCGCATTTGCCGAGTCCCTCGAACCGAAACAAGTCGAAACTTTCACCAGCTTATGTATCTGTTTACACTTACAAGCTGTCGATGCGGGCTGCAGAGCTGCCCGACTGTGACCCGCAAACTGCACGGCGGGGCATAGTGGGGCGGGGGTTTCGGTTTGGACCAGTGCGCGTGTGTGTGAATGTGTGTGTGTGTGTGTGTGTGTGTGGGCCACATACGTAGCGTATGCGCAACGTCATGCTAGTCGCTGTATCCATTTAATCCTTTTGGCATTGCATTGAGTTTGATTTCACACGCGAGCACAGAAACAATAATATTATGCCACAAACACTCGACGCCAGCGAACATGGCCATGTAATCACACTTGAGCCGGCAGCCATGGTCGGCTCCGCTGCCCCCCATTCCTCCCACCCGCCCTCTGTTCACCTACGCAGCCACTCCTACAGTTAGACGTCACGGGCAGACATGGCGTCTGCCCATTCGCACAGTCAACGAGATTGCGAAACTTCATTATGTGTCCGTTTGGCAGGCGGCAGAGACCGAGACCCAGTTCCAATCCCAATAGCCGGGCGCAGACGAGGCCAGTTCTTTTCCATTTCTATTTCTGTTTGGCTTTGTTCTCGTCTCTGCCTTTGTTATAGGGTATATATAGCCAATGCAAATGCCAATTAAAGGGTATGCTGCACAATTAAGTTACAGAGTACTTTAAATATTATTGAAATGTTATTAAATCGAAAATTACGTGTCAATTATTATTATTATTATTAATTTAAGTATTATTGTTGTTATTGTTATTGATAGCTGCTCCACTTGAAACCGTTATTGAAATTATCGATAGATCCTCCTACTGAAATCGATCTTGGTATATACTTATAACTCTCCAGGCTGCCATATTTAAGATCTGAAAATGTTATTAACAATCCATTAATAAATCATGCAGTTATTTGAGAATGTATCTTCTATAATTTGTGGATGAAGATAAGAAGAAGAAGAAGCACAGCGGTGCAGCATGCGGTGTGCATATGAGATTGTGTGTGTACGTGTGTCAGTGTGTGAGCAGGTAAGTATGTATGTGTGTCTGTGCGTATGATTGTGTGTAAGTTGTGCGTTTGCAAGAGTGTGTGTGTGTGTGCGTGTACCTCTCTTACTCTCTATGTGTGTGATGTTTTGTGTGTATGTATGTAATATACGTAAACGAAGGCAATGCAATTGCTTGTCACGGCAATTTCGAGCTGAGTACAGGGTATCTTCTAGTCGTGCACTCTCCACATTTGACACTTGCCGCTGTTGTTGTTGGTGTTGCGCTTTTCGCCGGCATTGAGCTTGAAAATGTGTTTATTTCCAGCGCCCCCAACGACAGCGGCATCGGCTCCAAGTGCTGCCATAAAATCGCTGAAGCCTTCCGACGCAAAACAAGCTGCCATATGAGTGTGTGTATGAGTGTGCGTGTGTGCATGTATGTGTGGGTGTGTGTGCTGTTCCAGTCTCGACTGCAATTGTTGTGCGTGTTTTTGTTATCTTCCGACTGGCTGTAAGGAATGCTAATGCCATGCCATAAGTGCACCTCAGGTGTTGGCTGACTCCTGCCAGCTGCCACGCCCACCCCTCATCACCAATACACCCCCCTCCCCCACACCTGCTCCTTTCTGACGTTGTTTTACTTATGCTGATGACATTTGCTGTGTTATTTCTTAACTAGCTTCGACTTCAATTTGAAACGCAGTTGAGACTGAAACCAACCTCTTCAGCTACGGAACGTGTGCGGCTGCCAAATGAGCTGCCTAACGATTCACATGGCTTAGCTGCTCTTTAGACCCAACATTTCGGCAGTGGGTGCAGGATTGGGGTTGGAGCAGCCCTCCAGCCCATGCCCCGCTCAAAATGCAGCATTCGCTAATATATCAAGGCACTCAAACCGATTGCATTTAGTCGCTGTCCAACAAGGGACCCAGTCCGTCCCGGCCAGGTGACGACTGCATTATGAGTCCAGTTGCAGCGTCACGTTCCATTGAAGCAGACGTCGAGCGAGTTGCCAGGACATTTGGACACAAGGATAACCTGTATGTTTGCTCATTTGTTGCCGAGCAGCCGTCGCGCTCGTGTGGCCTTTTAATTGTTTTATACTCCCAAGCATTTGGTAACAGGCACATAATCCATGACTCCCCCCCTTACACATTTGCTATTGCAGGGCGAAAAGTGGGACAGACGCTTAGAGGATTCCATTGGACTTTAGCTAATTGATTTATTGAAATGTAATTATTGCCAAAGTACTCGCTGAAAGTAAATTTATTCTCGTATATCTCAATTACAGAGATCTCGGTGGAATCGATTCGAAAGTGATTTGCAGAATATCAGTGAATATTCAATGTGTTTCATTTCAATGCCAACTGTTAATATAATACCTAGTTGCAGAGGGCCAAAGCGTGTAAAGTGTTATTTGAATTCATGAGAATCGCATACTAAAGCGATATTGAAAAATTTTGTTTTTCTCTTTGCAGTTTAACGGTTGTCTATATTACGACTATTACCTATCTATCTATTTAAATATCTTCCACATCCATATAAACTAGGACCAGATCCGAACCTGTCTACCTAAACTCCTAAAGACATATTACTTACTTACTTCACTAGTATCTGAAACAGGATATCATTGAGGAGCAAATCAATCGACTCACCAGCAGTTTAAGTGAGCGACTAGAGGTAAAGCCCGTCCGAAGCACCTGGCGGCCTGGCTTTACCCAAGACATTCTTCACATGCTAGGTAAATGTAGAGTTATGGTTGTTATATAATAATACCAAGTCAGATATCGCTTACCAATCTAAACCAAAATCTTGTCAGCTTGTAGGTTAAATAATTAAAATGTTACAATAATTTTACAATATAATTTTCAGCTTCAATCAAGTTTATTGAGAGTGTATTAAATAAATTAAGGCATAATTAAGTAAGATGATTGATAATCGGTTTTATAGATGGGTTATATGCCCAGAAACTAAATCAATTCCCTTTCGAATGTACTCAACTGATTAGCGGCACGTAAATTCATTTCAATTCAAGTGATTCACTCAGCCTATTTGATGCCCACCGCTTGAGTCGTTTGATTGAGCTGTGAATTGTTTCAATGAGTTTAGTGGCCATTAGACCATTGGCCATTGTGCAGAGCTCATTGCTGTAATCCGTCAGATTACTTGGGGATTATGTGACGCGCAAACCTCTCAGAGCATGAATGCATCTGGTATGGCCCACAACCTGGGGCTAAGCCGTGGAATCGCGCATCAGCTGCTGACATTTAATTACAGTGGGTGGCAATGTAAACTGAATGCGGGGCATGCAATTTGTTGCATGCGCACGTAACTCAAATGCCAAACACCTGCAGTTAACACGTTCGTCGGGCCAAACAAACAGCGAGTTGCCGAGCGGGATGCAAAAAGCGTATCCAGACAGGCGCCTCGGTTAAAACTGCACTTAAGTCAAACTTGCCAGACAAGTGGCAGGTCGTGTGGCACGGTGCGTCGACAATGCGCAGGGGTAAGGGTGCGCATGGCTGTAAAACAGAGGCAAATACCGTGCAAATGGACCGCTGACGTGGCCGTTTAACGAGCGCCCTTCGGGTGTAAAATTTCATTAGGAACTAAACGGTTTTCATGTCTGCATTTGGACTGCGCTTTCTTATGCTAATTCTTGGACACTGGACACTTAGTTGATTGGTTTTTGTCAGCCGTCATCAGAAGCCGTTGACTGATTGGATTTTGGTCACTTGCGGCAGGCCAAAAGATGCGCAGTTGACGCATTAGTGGCATGCCCCCTCTCATTCACCCAACCACACATATCTAGTGGACATCAATTTGATGTCTCTTGACTTGCAGTGGCTGCTAAAACTGCCGTAGTTTATACGCCTATGTCTTCTTAATTGAATTTAAAAACATACTTTATCCCATTAAAGAAACGACAGTAATTAAACACAAATTATTCGGCAGAACATACATAAATACTTTTAAAAAGAGCCTAATTATTTTATTTATGTCTCTTTTATACCAGGGCCATGCGTATTTTCAAAGTTTAAACGCAATTTTAAATGCACAAGCTCAAGTTTATTTACACTGAAATATTTTAAAACAGAGTATTTTAAAATTTCAATTGCGCGCCAATTGCAATCAGTGCTTACAGCTTTAGTGTTGTAAGCTGCCGCAGTGTTCAGCCACGCTCTCTCCTCTCACTCTCTTGCGGGCACTCTCTCACATTGCTGGTACAAATGGTAAACAACGAACGCAACGAAATGAAAACGAAACGCGCAATACAAATTTATTGTATATTTATTTCGTGCCGCTGCTAAACGACTTTTCGTAAAAATTTGCGTTCAATTTGCGTTTGTCAGCAAAAATAGCCAAAGTGCAAACAGTTAATTAATTAAGTAACACATCTTGTGGCAATACGATTGCACTGAATTATTGAAGTACATAAAAAATAGATAAACGACAACTGAGGATTGCCAGCGCAACACAAACGCTGCACTCCGCCAATCCCCCTCTTTCTAGCATAAACCAGCAACGAAAAGACAAAACGAAAAAACGATTCGTCACGCTGAACTTTCGGCTTGCGGTATATTTGCCATTTGCGGCTGTCTGTGCAATTAAATTTCCACAAGGCTTGCAAAACTATTGTGAAATTCGTTGAAGAGCAGGGGCTTACGCGGTGTCCTCCTGTGCTTCAGTGCGTGGAAAGAGCCTATTGGTTTTAAATCGATTTTGCCGACTGTGCGGCTGCCGAAGCAGCAAAAGGAAAACAGGTTGGTTATTTTTCTTTTCACCTCTCGGTTTTTACTTGCCTTTATGATTCTGAGTAACTGGTTCTTGGATGTTTGTCGGTTTTTAGCATATGTATATATTTCATTTGAGTTTGCTTTTTAAGCTTTTCATTCGTTGCGCTAAAAACATGAAAACGAAATACCGGCTTGTTGTCATCGAGCGACAGCGAGAGATAGTGAGAGCGCGAGAGCTAGAGAGTGCGATACCTACACACACACATCCGCAGACATAGTCGAATTGTAGAGCGGCACTCGATTGCATGGATGACTCAGTGAATGCGCTCGTAGTTGTGTGAGGTTATGCGTGTCATTTGGAATTGGAACGCGCGTGCAAAGCGAACTACAGTGGCATCCCCACAGCATGAGCACAGCCGCGTGCGCTTGCAAATTGATTGAATTGCAGCATTCACTTAATTGATACGAACTTCAAATGGACGTCGTTACGTTACGACCACAGGCCGACAACTAGTTTCAATTAGTCGCATTTTGCTTTCCTATGCATTTCACCAGCGACTGCGACTTGCTGTGGGTGCCGCAGTAGCAGCAGCAGCTGTGTCTCACAGCTGTTTGCTACCCTTTCCCGCGCGATTGCAATTTGCATTTATTGCGAACCAGAGAAAGAGAGAGCATGTCCCGTTCATTATGCAATAACAAATTTAGCGTATTATCGTTTTTATTGCTTGTATTGCCGTAGTACGCGTTGTTATTGTTGTTGTTCTTCTTCTTGTTATTGTTTGTTTTGCTTTGTGCCTTAATTCGTCACTAAGGTTAATTTTCTCACACTAATTTTTGAAGGTTAATTGTAAACAATTGTGAACTTGGTCACACACAAACTAACGAATCTCTCCTCTTCCTGCATCTTGCTCTATCTTTATCTTTCGCAAGTTGCCACGCGTCAAAATTACTGTTGATTTGAGCAATGGCCGCTAATTCAATCGATCAACGCTCCCCCTCTCTGTCTTTCCCACACACACACACACACACACCTGACTTGTATTGGCTGCCAATTTGCGTTTACAATTAGTCGCATCCGCAGCCGCGATTATGCTTGAGATGCCGCTTGCTCTGCCGAGCGCAATAGTTGTTGTTATTGCTGCTCATGTGACCGTCGCCGCGCTGTCACCACGTGCTCCTCGCTCTCCCTCTCTTCCTCTCAGACGGTCGCCAGTTTGTATGTTGATTGATTTGTTGCACTTAAAATTTCGACTTGTTATTGTTTAATGCACTCGTCGTGGTCCATTGTACTTTGGTCACGCTCCGAGCACACACGCTCGGCGCCATTGATTGAAGGGCGCCAATAAAAAAAAAAAAAAAACAATCTGGATGCTGTTTATATGCATGTAAAAAATGCTGCCTTAGCCCTGCAGGGCTGCATTATGTAACTGATAAGTCAGGCGATTAAGCCGTGATCCCAGACAGCAAACCTAAAAATTCCCCAAATTCTATACGAAACAAATAAAAACACACGAGTCTTAAAACAAATATAAAATATCCGACTAGCCAAGACCCTAGCTTTTATAACAACAAAAGCACAGCTTTTATAATTAACAAAAATATGACGGGGTATAAACTTCTGAAAGGCAGACATTTTTTTTTTTTTTGACAAATATAAATTCAAATAGAATTTATAAAATAACATTCACATTAGGGTTGATTATGTTATAAATGTCCGTTAGGAAGATATTGTAATTAATTTGAATACTCGACGTGTCCATTTTTTGGTTAATTTCTTTTTCGCGCTCTAGAACTCTTTGAGATAACATTTAATATTAATACTAAATAAAAAAAAAAAAAACTAAAAATTTAATGTAACAAAAATTTCATTTTATTTTGTTTAATAAATAATAATAATAAATAATGAATAAATACACAAAAAAATGTCTAAAAAAGGAAATTTCGAAAACAAATTTAAAAAAGTATAAAGAGCATACTTTAACTTTTAACACAGACTCAAACGAAATTATAATTATTATTATTATAATTAATATAATTATTATATCGTTAATTATCGATTATAATTGCTTCATATTTAACAAAGTTATGAGGCCTTACCTTTAAAATTATACATAAAAACGCATCTGCTTTTGACATTCGGCTTGAATTTTGACAAAAGAAATGGAACTTCCTCAGAATATCTATTAAGATGCCTTTGCTTATGATTGTTACTGCCACACACGCTACTGTCTAAAATTTATTTTTAGTTTAATTTATTTTTTTATTAATTGCACAGTCTTTCGCTCATAATACAAATGCAATCTTAAAAATAAAAAAAATTCAACAGAAGCAATAAAATTGCCTTCGTTTTGAAGAAGATAAGTTTAATATTTGAAGTCGGAGGAGCTTCTCATAATGTATCTACATATATGGCTACATAAAATGTAGCAGTATCTTTTCGTAGAAAGTTTACAAATCAAATTGTTTTTATATTTACAGTGTTGGAAAACTCTTTTGCAATTAGCTCAGCGTCAGTTGAACTGCAGTGTGCAGTGTGTGTTGGTAAAGAAAAAAAAAGGTAAACTGCCTTCGAAAGCTTCGCATATCATGCATATTGAAAATTTATTTATTTGTTGTAGTCCGAGTGTCGGTCATAAATTTATGCACAATTTGTTTGTCTTGCATGTCATTTTGGCATCCACAAAGATTTAATATTTAATACGCTCTGTTTTCCGTCTATCATCGTCTGGGTTTTTGTTATTGTGATGTTTTTGCAGTCACAAAATGCATATTTTAATGGGTTTTACAGCACGTGCCGTCCCATCGTACGGAATGTTTATTTGCTGATTGCTTTTGCCTCTGATTTATTTGTTGTTATTATTTTTCGAGCATTTTTAATATGCAGCGTGTCGAGCATAAAAGTATATAATTTATGACACACGATTAAACCAGCAGCTGTCAAACAAGTGTTCATTACGTGTCCAAAGGCTAGACTCGCAGAAAATAGTAGCTAAATTTCTGCGTTCAGCTGACAGAAAAAGTTAAGTCTGCAAAGAATATTCCTATCATATACGTCTATGTTCATGTCAATCAATATTTAACATTCGTCTGTTGTTGCTATACAAAGTTAAAGCTACACTTCCGCATCTTATAAGAATTAAGATCTTTATCTAAGGTAAACTTTTTAAAGAGTTAATCCTTTACAAATTGCTGACTTGCAGATATGTCATACAAGTTTTAATTGTTAAATTTATTGAACTAGTTTCTTATTAGCCGAACTTGCGAGCACTGTGTTTTTTGCAATCAGTTTTCCACCCATTTTCCACCTGTAGCGTTGAATTATTTTTGAAGCAGTCAATTTTGGATCAATATTTCTTAATCTATGAGAGTTCTAGATTTCGTTTTGGTTTAAAATGAAAGTTCGTATAAATAACAACTCATTTTCGTTTTCATCTTCTGGATTCCGCCTCGAAACTAATACTTAGCTGATATTAAATATATAATATGAGTTTGGTTTATTTTGTCAAATATTTATCATTCCGCCAAAATCATAACCTTTGGTTAAAAACAAGATTTGATAGGAATCGAATTATAGAATTGGTATTTGAATTGGTTTCTTGTTCGTCGATACTTCGAGATCGAACTCTAAGGATTTGACTATTTTTAAGTATTACAAACTGGGATTAGCAAATTTTAATACCTTCTTACCTTCATAGTTATGTCTGCTGTTTGTGCTAATGATACTTGTACAACATGCAAACATTTTATGCAAATGTGAAAACAGTTTTTTCTTATAAGCAACATATTTCACATTCGCAGCAAATGTTTGAAATGTTGATAGTGGAATTCGGCTATAATATTTAGAGAAGTGTAATCGGAATCGAAATGTAGAACAAGCCTCTTATAAGTTTATTTTCGAAGTTGAGTTTGAAGCTATGAAAAACTGGTTTTTAGAATATTTTTCCAACCGTTTTGCACCTCTTTGGGAGTTTCTTTCAACCCCATTTTGGTGCTCATATTTACTAATTTTTAATCAATAAATAAGATATTTACGTTCTCTGGTCTTTTGTGTGTCACATCTGATAATTTGTTTGATTCAGTTACCCACTAATTTAGTGGCTCAGCAATTATTTTCGAATTAGGCCAATGCCATTAGCCCTTGGCCAGTTCCGAGAAAGTTTCCAATCGGCTTATTGACGAACCCAACTAACATGTGCGGCTATTTCGCTGACGAGTTGTGCCAATATTTGTGTCAGTGCACATTCAAAACGGCCCCAAACAACAAAGACGTCAGCACGTTTGGCCTAAAACGTCACTAAAATAAATTTAAAAACAAAATTCTGTTCGCTCCGTCTATTGGGCTCCGCCCCAATTGACAGCTGCTAACGCGAAAACAAGTCAACATTTGAAAGCAAACATTAAAAAAAATATATGTATATATTAAGTTTGAAAATGTACAGTTATTAATTATTGTTTATTTAAGCTGCTCGTCGGCTCATAAATTTGTCCTCGAACGCTTGATATATGTTTTATTTATATTATTTTTACTATTGCCGCGCAAAGGGCCCACAAATTTATCGCAACAGGTGCGCCGAACAAGATTTTGGGTAAGATTTGTTGGCCGTTGGCTGCGATTCAAATGCATTTAAAGTGGCGCCTTCTAGACGAATATTTATTTTAAAGTAAAGTATAGTAGAAACGGGTATATTAGGTTACGTCCGCCTAGATTAAAATATAGTAACTCGTTAAAACCCATGAAAGCAACTAGTTTTAATTTTTGATCCCAAAAACTCAACACATTTTAGATGGGAGAAACTTGGATATGCTCTTGGATATGTCTTTAAAACGTATTTATGATCCAGATTTGAAGCAAAATAGACATCTTCATGTAATACTCGAAATAAGAATTAAATGTCGGTATTTACAAATGTACCATTATTTTTAACAGCCTTAAAAGAGTTTCGAGGGATACAACTAATTGTGTGTAACCAAAATAATTTATTCATAAATTTTAGCAATTATCTTATTTTCGTTATAGCTATTAAAAATATATAACAGTTTATATATTACTATCAATCAATTTGAGATCGGGCGGATTAAGTTTTCTTACAATCGATTTCCACCAATTTACCACAGTTACGGGTGGAATTTCCAAAACCGCTAAAACACGTTTTCCATTAGTTCTTAGGTAGGGCTTTGAAAATTATCTTTGATCCGCATTTTTCAACGATTAAGCCTGGATTTATGCAATAAGCTTAAAAGACGTCCTAAATGAAATCATTGATATCTATTTATACTGAGAAGCAATAGATTTTCCGAAAAGTGTGAAACACCCGTCAAATGAATTTGAACAAACATATTTGAAAATGATTTTGAGGCCGATCTGATGCTAAACAAACAAGTTTTATAAAAATGTTTTTCTCGATTTACACATTTTCCGGGTGGAATTTTCCAAAAGCCCGTTTTAGCGTGCACCTTCATTACATAAGGTAAGGGCTGTAGGTTGATCAACCATCCGTCAGTTAATCAGTCATTAAGTCAGTCAATCATTTAGTCAGCCAATCAGTCATTAAGTCACTCAGTCAGTCAGTCAATCAGTAAGCCAGTCAAGCATTCAGCCAGTCAATCAAGCATTTAGTAAATCAGTTAATTAGTCAATCAATCAATCAGTCAGTCAATCATTTAGTCAGCCAATCAGTCAGTAAGTAACTCAGTCAGTCAGCCAGTCAATCAGTCAGTCAATCAATCAGTCAGTCAGTCATTCAGTAAATCAGTCAGTAAGTCAATCAGTCTGTAAGTCACTCAGTCAGTCAGCCAATCAGTCAGTCGATCAGTTTGTAAGTCAATTAGTCAGTAAGTAACTACGTCAGTCAGTCAATCAAAATCAGCCAATCAGTTAATCAGGCCAAACAGTTTCTTATATTGGGATAAAGATATTTTCGAATGAACAGTATTTCCTAGTCGAGCATTTAGACTGGTTTTTGGCAGATTTTTTAATTAGATCCTATAATATATATATACTCACATGAACATAAACTTATACATCAAACGTGAGAGCGCTTGAATATGCATATATCACATAAATTAAATAAACATCATATATATTTTACTTGCAGATTCAGCAGGACAAGTCGGTAAGTTTTATCTTATTGTTTTTACTTATAGATTTGTTCAGATTAAACATAACATTACGCACAACCATTTATCATGCACAACTATATATATATATATATATATAAATAAATATATATATTATTAAAGAAATTGGCATCGTGTTCAGTTTTGGGATTAGTCAGCAGCATTGAAAAGATTTGAGGCAGACGCGTAGACAAAATGCATTAATTAAACTAATTGCAATTTTCACATTGCGAATCTTAATTGTGATCTAAAATCGAGATTAAATCGAGAGGAAATCATCCAGCCAAGGAGGGGTGGGAGGGGTGAGTGGGTCACGTACAGCACAGCACGCCGCTAATCGCCTAATTGGCAGCATGTAAACACGCGGAAATTGTGTATGGCCGGCGGGCAGGCGAACAATTTGAGTACCCACTGTGCCAGAAAGGCACTTATGTCTAAATATCTGTATGTACAGTGAAATCCCATAAAAGCACAGCTCTTTTGGGCTCTGATTTTCTCTTAGGTGCATCCAGCTTTGTAGTCGTAGTATAAATTGTATATTATAATAAATTATCCATTTCGATTAAACTGAGCATATCTTAGTTTCTTTCGTCTCATGTATCTCATATCGGCAAGAGTATGCATTCTTCGACATGACAATGTTTGCCGAGCTCTCTGTCCGTTCAAGGGAACTGTCACTGTATCTACGCATATACACATATCTATCCGGTACTTATAGTGCGCCACTGTTAATTAAATTTTGCCTGCTTTTGCCTGGGCCTGACGTTAGCCCCCCAAGTTTTAATTCATTCGCATGCTTAGCCAAGCAGAAAAACAACAACAAATTGACATAATGATCGGGCATGGGTATAATGATCAACATTATGCGCAACAACAACATCATCATCATCATCGTCATCATCATGAGGCATCCACAACATCATCATCTTCGTACAGACCGTCACTCAATTTGTGGCGCCCCCATTTTTACTGACATTTTACATTAAGACTTGACTTTGAACTTGTGTGTGTGTATTTGTATTATTATTATTATTCTAGTTGTTGTTGTTATTGTTGTTGTTGTGCCCCTGTAAATTTCCATTTCTGCAGGGTCAAACCCTGAGAGAGATGTGACATGTTTATACGCTTGTGGAAGTTATGACAATTTTATCATGAAGTGTGTAACGCTTAGAAGGATTCCGACTCCATATAGTATATATATATTCTAGATCAGCATCAACAAGTCTGTCTGTATATCATATAGCTGTTGTATGATAGCTGCAATAGGAACGATCGGTAGAAAAGTAGATTCCTTGATGGAAAACTTTTTTAACTATCATGTTATCCTAACTCCTCGTCATTTATTGGTTTCAGTATGATCCTTATATGTATGCAACATCTTATCAACATCGGATAACTATATTATATATAGGAATGGTCGGACGAGGAATAGGTTCTTGTATAGAAAACCTTTTTGTTTTTTAAGATATCTGGACCAAAGTAGTCATCTACTAGTTACACTATACCTCTTATATAATGCAAAATCTGACCCCTATTTCTTATACCTTTCATTGAAACGATTGGTCCTAAATTCAGTTCATGTATGAAAAACTTCTTCGTTTATAAAGATATCGAATACAAACGCTGCATTTACAAGCTAAACTATGAGCAGAGTCTTATTAAGATTGAACTACTATTTCATATAGATAAATAGGAAGAATCGGTCGAAAATCTAGTTTTTGTATGACAAAATATTCTCTTTTCCAAGCTATTTTCATCGAAATCAGCATTTACGAGCTTTGCTCTACTCACATATCTGCAAGCCTACAAGTGTATTAAATCTTCGGCGTGCCGAAAATATCCTTCCGTTCTCGTTTTTTAATGGATGCTGCAAGTTTCCTGGACAGTTGTTACCCGGTTGCCCACTCACTCGCAGCGTTTTAAATTTAGCAACAATAAAAAAGAGAAAAGATAAAAAAAAAAAAAATAATAACAAAAGGCATAAAAAAGTCGGTTGGCTTTATATGGAACGGCATTTCAATTGTGCGCGGCTATTTTTAGTCATTGTCATCAGGCGCGCAAATATTTTACTGTTTGCTTTTATTTTTTTAATCATTATTTGCATATTGAGGAAAATGTCGTGCGCATCTGGAAATCGCTAAAACTGTACGTGATTTGTTCTAAGGTTTTTTTTATAGTATTATTGTTTTTTTTTTTTTTTGTTTCTTAATATAATAAGTATATTCTAGGGATTTGCAACAAGTGCGAAAAATATTATATAAGAGCAAATAGAATAGAATACGAGTACATGCTCCGAGCAATGGAGATTTCTAATTGATTCAATTTACCTGTACATAATACACCCTGTATTATGTAATGTTTTAGTAGCTTTTTAACAAGCATGTGACAAACAGATTAAAACTTATATTTTTATTTTTAATATTGTTTTGTTAAATTACGTGTTGAATGTTCGTTTTGAGGGAAGATTATATATAAATACTTAAATATGTAGTTAATAATTGTGTGTGTTTAAAAACAAGTTTGTGTAATCTTAGCAAAAGTCAGGTTTGAAATAAGCTAAGTTAGATCTACCCTGGCCAATTTTCATTAATATTTAATCACATTTATCATGTCTAGATTAGACTAGACATGTCTGACAATTATTATTATAAAAATCATTTTTAAGTGTATATATGAAAAGTTTTTTTTTTTTTGTATAGAAAATAGAGCTCTTTGGATATTTATTGTTTTTTTTTTTTTGTGAAAAGATTTTGCTTTTTATTTTCTTGGTTAACAGTTTTTTAAGAGTATTTCCAAAAAATCTATTAAAATGATCTCTAAATATGATTAAATTCAAAACGAAACCAAGAAAACAATTTCAATATGCATGGTACCATTTATTATTTATTTTTATTTTTATGTAAATCATTATTAAATTGAACTATAAATATTATTTAATTTAAAGTATATAAAATTTAAAGTAAATTGTAAGTATAAATAGTATACAAAATAAAAATTTTTTATTTGCTTTTTTAGAAAATAAAACTCTTCAGATATACCATTAATTTTTATTTATATTTTTTTCATAATAAAAATGGTGTTCTTTATTTTATTGTTTTAACAAGTTTTGAAAATGGAATTTTTTACAACTCTTTAACATTTATAGTTCAATATAATATTATTAAATTTAAAATAAAATAAAAACAATAATTATTAAGTATAAAAATTAAGATCTCCCTTTTCACACAATAAAATTAAATTAAACTTTAAATATTGGTAAATTAAAAACCAATTATTCTTAAGATATATAAAATTTTTAAAAATATAAGAGTTATTGCTTGTATAGCAAATATGTATATATATATTTATTTGGTTTTATAAGCAACAGTTAGGATAGTTAACAGTTTTTAAATGTGCAGCTAATGCTTTGGATAGAGGGGAGTATGTCTCCACCAATCAGATCCAAGCTTCTTCCTGTCATCAGGCAGGTCGAAAAGCTCTTGTGCAATTGGGGAGCCCCGTGTCGCTTACTCTGCCGTGTCCCCCTCTCTTTCCCTCTACTTTATTATTATTTCTTAACACCTTTGTCAGCAAAGTGTGTTTAGTGTTGCGCGTGAAAAGTGCACTTAACTTGCTGCTATAAATGCTAATTAACTATTTGTAAAATACGTTTCTCATGCTTTTGACTCGCGTATTCTGTATTAACTAGCACTTAAAGTTTTATGTCTTATGTGTAGTTCCTCCTAATAGCCGCACAATTATATGTAACTTCCTGCTGTTAAAAGTTCATTCAACTAAAACAACAGCCTCGCTATTGCTCAACGCAGCGCAGGTGGAGAACATTTATCAAAAACATATATATATATATATATATATATATATATATATATATATTTAAAAAAATAAAAAACCAAATAACGAACAGTGTTTATCAAAATGCTTTTAAGCATATTGCAATATTTTGCACACCTTTCCAGAGAGCAATAGACGCGCGTCCTTGCCTTGGCTAAAACAACTCGCAATTGCCAAACCAAATTGAAACTGAACACATGAGCTATATTTCACGTACATGAGCTGACACTCAGGCATATTTCGCATTTTTTGAATGAACTATTCATTTATAAAGTTTCAGACTGTTTGAAAATAGAAACTAAAGAGAAAGACAAAATGTGAAAGAATGGTTATCGATGGCATGCCTAAGATCGAATACCCTTTAAAATCTCGTAATCATTGTTCCTATAAGAATCTAATATATAGAATATATAATATCGAAAATCAGACGATATGAGCGGGGTTTAACTTATGTTGGAAAAACAAATAAATTCTTTACAGAAAAGCTCATTCTGGACCGATTGTGCCTTTATGTTATCTGATTATGGTAAGATTTGCACACATATAAGAACCTTTGTAAAAGTCGTCGAGAAACCCGGACGTATGCTAAGTTGCATGACGATCGAATTAAGAGATAAGTCTGCATAGGCTTAGCTGTTGATACCGATCAGGAATATATGTATATACTTTATAATATTACATAGAGGACTTCTTTTACGCGTTACACAACTTGTCTTAAAACTATAATAGCCTCTTCAAGTATATAAAACGAGAAATATATTTAATGCCGCGACGTATATATTTGCGTACACATGTAGTTCCATTTGTTTTAGTTGGACTCTTGTCGGTTGTACTATATATGTCTATAGATCTGATTCACATTGAATCGGTTCGGTTGGGTTCGGTTCGTTGCGGTCATTCATGCTTTTCGTGGCCTGTCTGATGGCATTGTAAACTTGTGTGTTAATGCCCCATTAATTATATGCATAAAATAGACAAACTTATAGAAATTTGGCAACCAAACCTTGCAGACAATTTGCAACTCTGCCCCGCCCACACACGTGCTATAAAATAAGGCGTTAATTGTTGAGATATTTTTCGCCCTCGCTTTAGAGTGCTAAATTTGACGCCAATTTTGATCACTTGACTCGTGTTACGGGTACGCATAAATAAATCCCTCCTAGAT